TCTCATCCATAGTTAGAAATTCAAATTGTCCACGTAAAGTTTGAAACTTTACCTATTTGTTCTTGTCACCATCTCTATAGGTCTTTATCATAATTTCCTACGTCTCCTTTGCAGTAGCAGCCTTCGAGATTCTGTTGAAAGTTTGGGCTTCCACATTGATAAATGAGAAACCTTGCTTTGTTATCCAACTTTTGTTGTGCCTTGTAGTTTTTCTTCTCCTTTTCAATAGTTTTCCCTTCACGAACCTCAATCCCAACAGTGACTACTTCAGCTATATCCTAGAACGCGAAAATGGTTAGCATCTTGATCCTCCAATCATCAAATAACTTTCCATCAAATATTGGTAAAGCTCCTTGTATCATTCTACCAAATTCAGTCATGCCTTCTTGACTAATCTTTGATGTCTTGTTATCTTCTTATCCTCAACAAGAGTTTGCTCCTTCAATCTTGAAAAAAAAAACACCTTTGTTGTTTCACACTCATTCTGGTCTCACTGACGCATGCTTCTCAATAACATTGATTTTCAACGCTCTCAAGTCTAAGAGTCTATCTCTTGGATCATTTGAAGTTCTAGATATCATATAGAAACATAGGTGTAGACCCCAAATCTTGCCTGGCCTCATAATAAAGACCAGAAGACCTCCTTTTCGAAGATGGATGAAGCTTAAGAAGCCACTAGGAGAGACTATTAGGCCCCATACTAGGATAGGAGGGATTTTTAGCACAAAAATAAGGATTTTCGCCTTTGAGGGTCGAGACCGTCGTCTCGCCTTGCAGAAGAGGCGAGATCGCCGTCTCGTTTGGCAAGACGGCCGTCTCGCCATTCCTGCAAGGTGAGACGGCCGTCTCGATTGGCGAGACGACCGTCTCGACCTTGTCAAACGAGACGGCCCGTCTCGACCTGACAGGCGCGAATTCCTATAAATAGGGGCTCCATCCCCCTCATTCCACACAGTTCTCTCACTCTCTCTTTAGTCACATCACTAGATTCTCTCTCTAGAATCCCTCCAAAGCATTTCCGGAGTTTCTGAGTGTTTCTAAGAGTGTTTTTTAGCGTTTCGAGAGGTTTCTGAGGCTGTGTAAAGTGAAGGGTTGCCGCAAAGCACCCTATTTTCAGAAAGAATTAATAGAAAAGCTTGCTTCGGAGGTTTATACTTTCTCTCTCTATCTTTTACTGCCTTATTTTAAATTACGCGATAGACATTAGAGTCATGTAGTCATAGTTTAAAATTTCGCAAATAAAAGGGTAAAAGCGTATTTTCACCGGTTTAATTATTTTAACTAGCTGGCCTATCATAGGGAACCCGAAAGGGGCGTCGTAAAGGAACTAACACTTCCTTTACACGTAACTAACTCCCTTACCCAACTCTGGTTCTAACGACCAAAGTTGGTTTTTCGAAAACCAACGCCTTTTTATCCCTTTTCCGATGTTTCCGGTAAAAACATCAGTGACGACTCCAGATGAACCCTTCAAAAAAAATTATTAGCTCTTGGGTTAGCCCGGTTATCGGACAACCCAAGAGCACCCTTTCGAAAACCTCGCCTCTAGGTTCAGCCCGGTTATCGGACAACCTAAAGGCGTTGTAACCACACCAATAAAAACGCGAAAAATGAAAAGTCGGAACCATCGCGTTGCTTCGACCGCCTCGTTTTGACGGTGGCGACAATAGGTTAAAAAAATACAGCAGGAATACCTCAAATCTTATTTATGACAAAACTACATAATGACAATTTATATACAAGAGAGAAAACAAATCAAATATAATAGTATTAACTATACTAACTATATCATTTTAATTTTGATTTAATTTTTAATAGTAACATCATTAAGGTAAATTCTTATATCAAGGTATTTTTTACTTTGAAGCTTTAGTCCATCATAATTTTATCTTTAAATATATCTCTTCGAATTTCAAATTAAAAGACGATGTATATAAACACACACATGGCTTCAACTTACTCATATAGATTATGAAAACAATTATGATTAATTAATCTTGTTCTACACTTTCTTTCTTTCTTTAATACTAACTTTAATTTCGTATTTTCATATTAGAGAAAATAATTGAAAATAAGATAAAATAATTGAAATAGATGGAAATTAAATAAATGTAAAAAATATTAAAATTTAATTTAAAAAGTATTTTTTTTAAGTATGTCTGTATTTTTTTCTTCTATAATACTCTTACCATTAAAATCTCATCATTTGAATTTTAAAGAATTTTTATGGAAAGAATTCTGGAAAGAATTTATAAATTTTTAGGATTTGAAATAATCTTACAAATCTTCAGAAAAGCATTCTAATTATAAGAATTAATGGTACAAAAGTAATATCTTGTAATATTTTATTCGTATATTATTAGTTCCTTTATTAACTTCATTTGGTTTTTATTTTTTATTTCAACAAACAAATTATAATTATAATATTTTTCTATTAGTAAAAATGGGAATTTATTATAACAATATTTTTTTAATCACATTTTGTATTTAAATATTTATATTGTGGTTAAGCAAGAGAAAAAAAAGAAAAATAAAGTTTCATATAAAAGAAAAACGAGTCTTAAGGGATTGGGTGAAATTATTTTATGGATAATAATTTATATATTTGACTAAAAGTAATGTGAAATTAATTAAAAATATTTTAAAAAATAGTCAATTGATTTTAAAAAAAATCAAAATTTATATATGTTGATTATTAACATATTTTTATGATGAAAATTATTAAAAAAATATCATCAGATGTCCTTTTACAAAGAATTTTAATTATCTTGAAATATCAAAAAACTTATTTATATTATTTAAAATCCCCTTTATTCATGAATTTTTTTTAAATCTTAATTCAGTACATGAGTATTTTTGGTTGCAAAATAAAAAAAAGAGTAAGAAATTAAACGAGAAATACTCATAAAACCTACATACTTTTTAATTTTATCTTTATTATTTATTTCCTACTAAATATACTAAATTGAATTATGTTCTCCTTAATTAATGTTAGTACGTAACAAGTTATTTCCTACCAGATAAATGATTTTTTTCCCTAAATATAATATTTTATTACATTTTTTTTGTACTCTTACATATTATATATTTTAGTATTTTTCAACTAATTAGAAAAAAAAAAGATATTTGTTTAGCACGGGTGGAAAACTTGTTTACTACTACAACTCCAAGTTATGAGCATTTTTTTCTCAGAATAAAACTTGGATAATATATATATACTATTATCAAAATTTTCAACAAATTCTAATACATTGATGCTTTTTTAAAATCATATAAAGAAGCATTGATTTTTAAGAATTTTATTACAAAATTATAAAAACTATGAGGATTTAATTAAATTGTTCTATTTAGTAAAAAAAGTTTATAAATCACTGGCAAAAAGGAAGTGTTTTGGGCCTGGGGTTTTTGTAGACATAAAACAAAAATCTTGAATATCTTTCTCTGCGCTTTTATTTTCCATTGACGCAGTGAAGTATCATCCTTGTTTCGTTGAAGCAGGTAATGAATGAAACCACTTTAACCAATCATACTTCTTTATTTTTGTGTGTACCACTTGCTTCATGCTGATGAATTTCTCAGAGAGCGTTCATAGATTGTTTAAAAATCTCTACTTTTGTTCTTTTTTTCTCCTTTTATGTGGTTGTCTATAATTGCTCGAGCCCCAAAGCAAAGCCCCAATTTTTCCATTAGCTGAATTCCTTAAATTTCTAGGTTTTTCTTCATTCTTGTTTCTGTAGCATTAGCTTAGATTATATTGGGTGGTTAACATAGGAAATAATTGTTTGTGTTGCCTAACACTCTCAAATCACTCGACCTTCTCTTCATCCTCAATTTAACCAATGAACTATCCGCACTTAACTGGACTAGGAACTTGGACTTGGTATTCTTTTTTTCATGTAACCCTAAATGATTATAGCTGGACTTGGACTATTTCATTCACAATATGAGGGCTTCATGTTTTAGCTAAAGGAGCTGGGAGGTGTAATAATTCAAAATTTGGCCTATTCTGAGACACATCATGAGTGCGATTAGTCCAGCCGAATTGTGGTTTCATAGTTATAACACACAAACATTATTTTTTTAATTGCATCATGATTAATGGGCATTGGTGTTTTAAGTTACAGGTTGTCACTCTATCTCTTTTACTATTTTCTGGAAAACGAAAACTACACAGATGCCTTATTATGAATGTATTCTGCTGCTTGGAGTTGTAACAGTGAGAGATGTTATTTGAGATCTCACAGTAAATAACTAGTGATATGATCGACATTGTGTGCAATTGTGTATAAGTGGGGGAAAACCTTCACTTCAAGAGCTAGCTTTTGAGATTGAGTAGGTTCAAATTCAAAATTTTATCACAGTATAAAAGTCTATTTAGTGATTATTGTTAGACTTATTGGGTCATATGTATAGTCTTGTAAGGTTCATGCTTGAGAGCTCAGTCTTTGATGTGAGGAGAGATAGCAAAAAAATAAGTGAGGGACAACCCTCATCTTAAGAGCTGGTTTTTAGGGTTGAGTTAAATTCAAACCCAAATTCTAAGGAGAGTCATTTTGGCTACAAATTTTATATTTATTTTCGTGCAGTGGTTATTAACTTTATACTATTGTTGGAAACTGATAGTCTATTGCCAAGTGCTGCATTAAAAGTCTAGGTTCATGGTTTTCTTGATTCAGGAATAGTCCTTCTACTTAAGGAATTGCATTTGTATTTACTCATAAATGTAGCTAACTATGAAATATGTGCGTGTGAAATCTATTGAGTGCTTTCTTACTCAAGCGATTCATCAAATCTCAAGTTTTTAACATTTATTTTCAAAAACTTAGATGGCTCAGCGTTTTAATAAAATCCTCTATCACGATCCATGCAACATTTTAATTTTCTATTCATCTGCTGAAAAGTATTATTCATTTCAAAATGTGAAGTACTTTCATTTTTCAATGAGCAGTATGGGTGATATAATTACTGACATTGTAGGTGCTAATTTTCTCTTGTAAGCAATGAGTCAATTGCAAGGATCGTCTTCACTTAAACGGAAACGACAAGACTTGGCTTTAGTGTCGGGATCTATGACAGATGGTGAACGTGTATTGTACAATCTCATACATAGCAAGAAAGACATGGGAATCTGGACAGGGGACATGAAACGACAAACGAACCTACCTGACAGCATAGTAAAAAAATCCTTGAAGTTGCTTCAATCCAAGAATCTGATAAAGGAGGTTGTTAACATTCAAAACAAAGGTAGAAAACACTACATGGCAGCTGAGTTTGAACCATCCAAGGAAATCACTGGTGGGGATTGGTATACTCAAGGGAGTCTTGATACTGATTTCATAAACCTTGTAAAGGAGGTGTGCTTGAAGTGCATTTTCAGGCAGAAAGTTGCCACACGAGATGGAGTTTTGGAGTGGAGCAGAAAGAGTGGTGTCTTCACGGTTGAAGTCACAACACAGCAAATAGATGAGATTTTGCGAGCTTTGGTTTTGGATGACGAGATTGAAGAAGTGAAAAGCACTGGACTAGGGGATTTTTCTTCTGTTCCTGTTGGCAGAATTTGTTACAGATGCAAAAGTAAAGGTGGCAACAGAGGGGAACATAAACCCGGTGCCATGGCGTCCATTCCATGTGGAGTTTGTCCACGAATAAACTTCTGTACACCAGATGGCATTATCTCCCCAAGAACTTGTGTCTATTATCAGAAATGGTTGGACTTCTAAGGAGATTAAAAAAACAATTCATAGGTTAAATATGACCTCCAAGCTTTCACTCTCATCTTGCACCTGTTGTATTTGAATTGCAAACTGTTGTGTCAAATCTACTGCATTAAAATCAAAGAAGTAATCTCAGTTGGTGTCACAAATTTCTGAATCCATGAAAAAGAAAAAAGGAATGAAAAATTGATCATTAAACCTCTTTGTACCAATTCTAGACAGGTTATAGTTCCCCCAAGTAAAGAGTGTGTCTGTTTTGTCTAATATAATTTTGATTCATCTTTCTGTCTATTTTACTTTTATAAGGATCCATTCTTTTATTCGTTAATAGTCGTTACAGAAAAAAATATTTGCAACTATTGTTTGTTGGTTCAAGTAATAAGGAGTTCGTTTTTCTTTTAGGTTTAATATCAAGTTCAACTGGGAGGATGTGTTTGAAATAGTTGCGAAAAATTAGATTATCTCGATCATGGATTATTGTTACAAACAGACTATAATCACAATCAATTTTATTTAGGTAATTTTGTTAAAAATGATTAATTTTGTTTAGATGCAATAAAAAAAATTGTAAATTGAATTTTTTTTAGGTAAAAAGTTTAGACTAAAATGCTTTATGCAGTCGTGAAATCTTTAAAACAAATTACATACAAACCATAATTGGATAACGTAAAACAGTTATGTGCTTTCTATTTTAGCACGATGGATCATTCCAATTAGCCTAAGTTTTAGGATTCTAAATGTCAATTTCAGAAGCAAATGAAACAGAGGTGCCTGGTCTTAAGGCCAAATGTCTCTCACCTCAATGGTGCATATCATTCCATGTGTTAGTTTCAGCCACTATATATACCTCACCCCACAACTTTGAGTAACATCTCATACTAAGAAGCATTTACTAAACCACCTTCTGCTTTTTCATTATCAAAATTCAAAACAAGGAAACCAGAAAATGGACCACTCCCAGTCCCAGAACTTGAGCCACCAAGCCGGTGAAGCCATGGGACAAGCCAAGGTGAGTTTAGCACTTATGCACATGTGTTCAATATATTCATGCCTTTCAATTTTTGCACAACATTCTCAATTATAGTGGCATGACATCTGAGAATAATGTTATTGATGATTTAGGAGAAGGCAAGTAACATGATGGACAGTGCAAGCAATGCTGCTCAATCTGCCAAAGAATCCTGCCAAGAGGTTAGACCATTCGTTTGAGCAATTTTGTTGATTGTTTGGAAAAACTCAGATAATTAAATTATTCAAACTTGATTACACGTATAATAGATTTTCATGGATCATAATCAGAATCAATTTAAAGTTAGTGTGCTAAAAAGAAGTTTTGAGACAGTTCTATGAGATTGAAGAAAAAAGCTTTTCCAAACATGATGTTAGATTCTATAAAACAAGCTCATGATTATGTAGAATATTGATGGAACTGTGATGGTGTTGTAGGCTGGCCAACAAATGCAGGCAAAGGCACAAGATGCTGTTGATTCTGCCAAGAGCTCAGCTGAGGCTAACAAATGAATCTGATGGAGATTTCTCAAAGTGGCTATTTGTTGCTTTCAGTTTTGGTTTTTGGAATTTATGCATTCATTTGCCTTTGCTATAATCTGTTGCTTTTACCATTTTTTTTCCCTTTCTAGATGAATAAATATGAATGCTTGTGTATCAGCCACTTGAATGAAGCCCTAGTTATTATAGTTTATAGTAAACCATTGTGCAATAAAAATGCAGGTTAATGCAATTTCTGTCCCAAATTTTTTTTTTTCTTCAAATTTGTATTCTATCTATTAACTCTATTCCAATGCTGTTAAGAACAAATAGCAGATTTTATCCCAAAAATGGTTTGGGAATGAGAATAATAATAACAACAACACTCATTGAAACAAAAATTTAATTGAAGTAAAATAATTAATATTGTTAATATTAATTTAATGTAAAAATAAATAAATTTACAATAATTTTGAGATGGTAGAGTGTGTTTAATAGTAAGTATTACAAACAATTATTAATAATTAATAATGAAATAATTGTACAGTCCATTTAGACAAAATTAACAGCAAAAACAGGGTTAAAGCATTTCTAATAAAAATTACTTAAAAAAGGTCTTATAAATTAAAAATATTATTTTAATATAAATTCTACTTATAGAATTATAAGAAATAAATAAAAGTTGTATTTAGCTAAAAAGTTAGACCTGTTCACCTCATATGCATAACTCGTATATAGTAATCACAATCTTAAAATTGTTAATATTTTTTTTAATATTAACATTTTTCACATAAAAATATATATTACTTTTTAAACAATTAAAAAGTATTTACTTAATATTTTTTTAAGCAAATCAAGAGAGTTGATGTTAGAGTAAATAGAAGAAATATAAAGATAGATTCAACTATATCTCAAAAAATATTAATACAATTTGCTATTAAAAAAATATAGAATATTAGTTTAATTAACTCTTATAGGACTAGTTTTAATTCTATTTTTCTTTGTTTTATTTTACTTTTAGTACTTATGGTTAATTTTTCTCTTAACTTTAATAATAATATCATTTAATAAAATTATCAAATTAATATTATTGACGTAATTAAAATTAGTATGTGAACATATAATATTACTAAAAATAAAAATTAAAAAATAATATATCTACAGGATTAAAAAAAAAACATTTATGAAGATTATAAATATATATATATATATATATATATATATATATATATATATATATACTCGGCAAAAATTCATTAAAATATTTTTATTTATTATCTTGTTATTCATCATTTTATTATTAATTATTTATTATAATATTATATTAATTTTTTTAATATTAGTTATTACTTTTTACTTCTACGTAGATAAGTTTATTTCTCATTTTTAAATACTTATGGAATATCTTTTTCAACTAAAATTTTGTTATTTTTAAAATAAATTACTTTTAACCTTCTTGAATTCATAACTAATCTACCAATCTCCTTATTTCAACCTCGAATTTTTTACATAATTACATAAATTTCATAATTGAAAAAAATAAATAAAAAATATTTATAAAAATGAACATATTAATAAATTTTTACAAAATAACATATCTATTTTGAAAATAATATATATATATATATATATATATAATTATTAAGAAAGATATTTATACCAATTTTTTTATTTTAATCTCTTGACAATATATTTTTAATAATATTATCAATAATTTTTATTTAAAATTTTTAAGAATATATCATGTGATGACATTCTAATAATAATAATAATAATATTATTATTATTATTATTATTAGAGTTGAGAAATAATAGTTAATAACGATACGTAAAACATAATTTTTTAAAATAGGTAAGTAAAATGAGAAGTAAAATAAATAGTAAATAAAAAAACGCATAATATTACACGATGATAAGATAACATATAAAAAGTTTTTTGTTTTATTTTTTCCATTAGCAAGATAGGGCATCACTCTCTTTTGGGGATTAATCCATGAAGGTTTACAATAGTTTTAAATTATATATAAAAAATTAAAATAGTTTATGAGAAAACTGATAATTATATGTTTTTTTTAGGAAACTTCTATATATAAATGTATATATAAAAAAAGAAGTAAAAACAAAATAAACTTCTAAGTATTTTTAATTATTTATTCATTTTTTTTATGAATTAAACTTATTTCATTTTGTTTTTTCCATGAAATGTTAATGAAAAATCTAAAAAAAATGCCAAATATATCAGACTGCCTTCTAAAATTTGAGATACACTAAATTGACATGTTTGGTTTGATGAAACATGTCATAACTGAATAATCTAGTTGAAACATTGGTTTAAACCTCAACGCATGTGTTTGAGACTTGCAAATGTCACAACCATTCATCATTTTAATTGTGTAATTAATTTAAATATTATGATAATTTTGATTGTCATTATATTAAATTAATTAATTTACAATATAAAAACTTTATCCTCAGTAATATAGAAATAGTGGAACAATAAATTAATCAAGCATCAAATTAACTACTTTTAATTTTGAAAAAATCAAACAAACTTTTTTCAACATAAACATTACTAAAACCATAAACAAGAAAAATGATACTTCAGTCGTTATATTATACGAATTTAAGAAAGTATTTGCTTACACTACTTCTCATATTTTAATTAATTGAATTTATAATTATTTTATTATTATGATTAGATATGTTTAGACGATTTAAAAAAAAATTATATAAGAAAAAAAATTCATTAAATTAAAATTACTTTATATAATCGTTAAATAAAAAAAAGTCCTTAGTGCAATATATATATATATATATATATATATATATATATATATATATATATATATATATATATATATATATATATTTTCCAATTACATTATGATTTCATGGAGAATAAAGGTTGAAGAATAAAGTGAGCATCTTGAAGAATTTTATTGCGTTGTTGCCTTAATTCTTCTATCTTATTTCCCTGTCATTTGCAGACTCTTCTCTCTGGATCGCTGACATTCATTGATCAAGCATTGAAGGTTACATTTTTCTTTTCAGATATTATTCTCGACTTTCCTCTTCCTTGTTATTTTGTTGCAATTTCATATCGCTGCATGTCCACTACGCCAAGATTATATAAATGGGAGATCGATGCAATTGCAGTTATTAATTTTTGAAAAGAATTGGGACTACACCAAGTTTTCAATTTGAACAACTGAACACAAAACTGAAACAAAGTTCCAATTTTGTTGCTGGGTTTTTTCGTTTGGCTCGGATGTTACGCTTGTTTATCTATAGCAGATCACAAACTTTGTGCTTCCCTTTCGAAAAAACTAAAAGAATCATAGTTGAATGTTATTGGTTGTGTGTGCCTTTGTAAGTTGTGAAGCCAAATTGCTGAAAAGTAAAATGTTTATGTGTATTGTACTTACTATGGTGGCAGGGATTTGGTAGTGAAAACATCATTGGAGTGATCTGTTATATGCTGTTTAACCCTACTTTTTATAACCTGAGGGAAGAAAGGAAAAACCGAGCAGAATGAGTAGTCCACAGGTGCCCAAGAAAAGAGTGGCATTTGTGCTGATTGATGGGTTGGCTGATGTGTCACTGCCAAGGCTTGGATTCAAGACTCCTCTTCAGGCAGCAAAACTACCCAACTTGGATGCCATAGCATCTGCTGGAGTTAATGGACTAATGGACCCTGTTGAGGTTGGCTTAGCTTGTGGAAGTGACACTGCTCACCTCTCCTTGTTGGGTTATGATCCCAGGGTTTATTATCGTGGTCGAGGAGCATTTGAATCCATGGGGGCAGGATTGGCCATGTCACCTGGTGATATTGCTTTTAAGGTTTGTTAAGAACTCTATTTTCACTTTTGGCTGAGCTTACTTTTGCTTGAAGCGATGACAACTTATTTCATGCTATAGAAACTATCCCCTTCCTGGATGATTTAGGTAGCGGATTGCTTCAGTCGAAAGATTGATGCAAACTTGAGATTAAACTAGATTAGATATTTTTCTCAAAGATTGGTATAATATAGAAAGGTTCGTGGCTTATATTTTTATGGTTAGCACAGAAATGTTGTGGTTTCATTTTTAATTAAAAATTTAATCACGGTTTCTTTCGCAATATAATGGTGCGTGCACTCCTCCGAATTCTTAGGAAAGATAGGAAGCCCAACTTTTCATATTGACAATTCAACTTCAATAGCCATAGTCTTTTTGGTACATGGTGATGCTTCATGTCTTTTCAAAGTTAATGTAGGAGAGACTTTAATAGCCTTAACTTTTGCGCTTTATTGAAATGCTTTACCATACAATGTTGGGTGGTATCAGTATTCTGATAAAGTATCTAAAATTACAGATAAATTTGTTACATAGATTGTGCTTTCTTTGTGTGTTATGTTGAAGTTGTTAATTCTTAACCTTGTCTAAAAGGGATATATCTCATAGTTTGTTCTGCATTGTTCATATCAATAAAACATTTTCCTGCAGTCAAACTTTGCTACCCTTGATGAGAAAACTGGAACAGTTACCAGCAGGAGAGCTGACAGGCACTTTGAAGAAGAAGGCCCCATACTTTGTGCTGCCCTGGATGGATTGAAGCTGCCATCTTTCCCTCAATATGAAGTCAGATTCAGGTGAAGATGCCTAAGGTTTCTATAGCATTTAATGGTTAATTGTTAGGCAACCACTTATCATGGGTAATAAGTTTTTAAGGGTTAATTGTTGCACTCTATTTTATTTGGTTTGAAGATTTCATTCCAAAAAATTCCCGACTCAAGTAAAATTTACTACTAAATGTCTACTAGTTTGTGAACAAAAGGTTTATGTATGCATAGTTAAATTAACAATTCTTGTCTACCAAAAGAATTAGCGGTTCTTTATGTTATGATTCTTTCTAGAACTAGGAAGATAATTCTTCGAAGAACTGGAATATGAAAAGGGAACCCAAGAATTGAAAGATTCCGATGTATTATTGAACTGAAGAGAAGAAATAAGAGGGAAGATACAATTGACGGGAGACTCTGTTTTTTTCCTCCTTTTCTTTATTACAAACTAATTATTATTAATAGCTATTTACCCCAGCAGTTATAACTACCTAACTAACTATTGCTGACTCAGCAATTACAACTTACTGAAATTACTTATATCAATACCCTCCCCTTACAACATCCTTGCCCTCAAGGATGAAAAGATGGAAATTTCTTCTTCAAATCATAGTAAAACTCCCAAGTAGCATCCTCTGCCAATTGATGCTTCCATTTAACCAAAACCTTGGTCGCTGCTACTCCCTTCCTTCGAACTGTCATCCTATCTAGGATAGCTTCTGGTTCCTTGTCTACCAAAGCATCTTCTGACTGATATGGCAGCACACTTGAAACTGGGACCCTTCCCACATGCATCTTAAGTTGTGAAACGTGGAAAACATCATGAACTTTGGACTGATCTGGCAGTTCAAGCTTGTAAGCCACAACCCCAATTTTATCAATAATTCGATAGGGCCCAAAATACTTAGGACTCAGCTTCATATTGCTCCTCTGCGCCACTGAGATTTGCCGATAAGGATGAAGCTTAACATATACCATATCACCAATCTGATACTCCCAGTCAGTCCTGTGTTTACCGGCTTGTTGTTTCATTCTTTCCTGGGCTCTTCTGAGGTGGAACTTCAACATCTTCAACATCTCTTCTCTCTTAAACAAACTTCTATCTACTAGCTCAATCTTGGACAGACCAAGTAGATAAGGGAGATGTATGGGAGGAGGTTGGCTGTAAACAATCTCATATGGGGTAGCCTTGGTGGCAGTGTGATAGGTGGTATTATACCACCACTCTGCCATGGGCAGCCATTTGCTCCACTGCCGAGGTGCGTCACAACACATACACCTCAAATATGTTTCAAGACACCTATTTACCACTTCCGATTGGCCATCCGTTTGAGGGTGATAGCTAGATGAAAGTTGAACCTGAACTCCCTGGAAAGCCATCAAATCCCGCCAGAATGTACTGATAAAGACAGGGTCCCGGTCACTAGTGATTAGGGATGGCAAAACGGGCTAGGCTCGGCGGGTTGGCCCGCCAGCCCGCCATAATATGGCGGGGCGGGTTGGTGTTTTCAGCCCACCAGCCCGCTTTGGCCCGCCCTGCCAAGCCCGCCAACCCGTCGGGCCAACCCGCGGGACGGGCGGGCCAGCCCGCGGCCCACCTAATTAATAAAAAAATAATTTTTTATTGTAATAAAATTAATTATAAAGATAATATATAAAGTTAAAAATTTTAAAAAGAGAATTAAAAAAGTTTCATTCTCACGGAAAATATTCTCCTTCCCGAAATATAACCTTCTCTCCTGTTCTCCTTATTTATCCTAAGTATCGATTATATTTATCCTTATTACTTGAATTAAAGGTATAAGAATTACTCAACCAAGTATAATATGAAGTTTTATCAAATAAAAAAGATATAGGTATTTGAATTTTTTAATATAAAAAATATAAATTTTATAAGTTTAACGTTATTTATATATATATATATATTTGTTATTATTTATTATTATGTAAATTTTATTATTGTTCTAAATTATAATTTCTTAAAATAATATATTGATTTATATTATTAAATTGAAATAATATATATATATATATATATATATAAATATATATATATATATATATATTGAATTATTGACAAACAAATAATAATCTTATTATTAAATTTATTAAAAAAAATTATTTTTTTAAATTATGGCGGCACGCCAACCCGACCCTATGGCGGGACGGGCCAAGGTCTACGACCGTCATGACTATATCGAGTCGACCGCCCGCTTTGGCGGGCCAAAGGCGAGGCGGGCCAAAACGGGCGGCCGACCTGTTTTGCCATCCCTACTAGTGATTGTGCCTGGAAACCCATGCAGCTTAAAAACTTGATCCAAGAAAACCTGTGCTACATCCCTTGCTGTATAAGGGTGAGAAAGAGCCATGAAGTGGGCTGCTTTACTCAATCTGTCTACTACTACTAGAATGACTTGCTTCCCAAAAGACATAGGTAACCCCTCAATAAAATCCATAGTCACCTGCTGCCAAACTTGATCAGGAACTGGCAATGGTTGCAACAATCCTGGACTTGCCGCCGTAGAATACTTATTTTTCTGACATACATGACATTGCAGTACAAACTTTTTTACATCAGTAGTTAAACCCTTCCAATGTAGCATAGTTTTGATCCTTTGCATTGTTGCATTAATGCCCGAATGACCACTAGCCCCTGAAGAATGCAACCACTGCAGTAATTCTTCTCTCAACTTGCTATCATTTCCAACCACTAATCTTCCCTTCCTCCTTAGTTCGTTATTATGCCATGTATAGTGTTTATGTACAGCCGAGCCATCTTGAATTTCCTTGATTAACTTCTTCAAATTCACATCAGTTAACCAAGTAGCCTTGATCTTATCACCCAAATCAGATTGTAATTTATAAGTACTCAAACTATGGCACTTTAACTCCTCAACCCTTGACAATGCATCTGCCACCACATTCTCATGCCCCTGCCTGTATTCTATGGAAAAGTCAAACTCCATGAGCTTTGCTAACCACTTCTGTTGAAACACAGTGGTGAGCCTTTGATCCAGCAAATACTTCAAGCTGTAGTGATCAGTTTTTACCGTGAAATGCCTATTGAGAAGGTAGTGTCTCCACTTCTGGACTGCAAACACTACTGCCAATAACTCTTTCTTATAAGTAGATAATGTTTGTTGCTGATTATTCAAAGCTCTGCTAATATAAGCAATAGGATGGTGTTCCTGCATGAGGACTGCTCCTATTCCATAACCTGAAGCATCAACCTCTACTATGAATTCTTTAGAAAAATCTGGTAATGCCAGAACTGGTGCACTACAGAGAAGGTTCTTGATTTGCTGAAAAGCCTCTTTCGCGTGATCACTCCATACAAACCCATCCTTCTTAAGCATTTCCGTCAAGGGCTTAGCCACCACTCCAAACCTCTTCACAAACCTCTTGTAATAACCTGCCAACCCTAAAAAACCTCTTAATTGCTTGAGGTTCTGAGGCAATGGCCAGTTTTTTATAGCTTCCACCTTGGCCGGATCAGTAGAGACCCCTTCAGCAGAAATAAAATGACCAAGGTATTCAACCTTTTTAACAACGAGAAACATTTAGATCTCCTAGCAAATAAACTATTGCTCCTAAGAGTCAATAGTACTTGCCTTAAGTGACTCACATGACTCTCCAAATCACTGCCATATATCAATATATCATCAAAGAAAACTAACAAAAACCTCCTCAAAAAAGATTGAAACACAAAATTCATGAGGCCCTGAAAGGTAGTTGGTGCATTTGATAAACCAAAGGGCATCACCACATATTCAAAGTGACCAGAATGTGTCCTAAAAGCAGTTTTCGGAACATAGGGGGCATTAGAATGGTTTTAATTCTTGACTATTTAGACAATTATAAAAAAAATATTGAGACAATTATGAATTCTATTGAGTTTCCCTTACTTGATCAAATAACCAAAAATTCAGTTATTTCAACTACATTAAATGATTTTTCAAATTGGTCAAGATTATCCAGTTTATGGCTGCTTCTTTATGGTACCAGTTGTTGCTTCATTGAATTTGCTTCATTAATAGGATCGCGATTTGACTTTGATCGTTATGGACTAGTACCACGATCGAGTCCTAGGCAGACAGACCTAATTTTAACAGCAGGCACTGTAACTATGAAAATGGCCCCCTCTTTAGTTCGATTATATGAACAAATGCCCGAACCTAAATATGTTATTGCTATGGGAGCCTGTACAATTACGGGGGGATGTTTAGTACCGATTCTTACAGTACTGTTCGAGGCGTAGATAAGCTAATTCCTATAGATGTCTATTTGCCGGGCTGTCCACCTAAACCGGAGGCCATTATAGATGTTATAACAAAACTTCGTAAGAAAATATCTCGAGAAATCTACGAAGATCCAATAAGTTTTCAACGACAGAATAGATGTTTTACTACCAACCACAAGTTTCATGTTGGATACAGTACTTATACTGGCCATTATGGTCAAGAATTCTTCTATCAACCGCCATCTACTTCATAGATATCGTCTAACACATTTTTTTAAAGTACAATAATAAAAAGCAATTCCTTTTTTCAAAATTTCATCGTAATGTAAATAGGAAATACTAATACCAATTTCATAAAAAAAATTCAGGAGAAGCAAAAAATGCAAGGTCGTTTGTCTTCTTGGCTAGTCAAACTGTTAGAATCGCGCAGCAGAATGTTCGCGTGGTCGGACAAAAACCAAGAGGGGGGGGGGTGAATTGGTTTCTTAATAAAAATTAGGTTTTCAAAATTTTCCCCAAATTTTACCGATTAAAAACTGCGTAAATGTAAATAGAGAAGAGTAGAGAAGATTACACAGTAGGTTTATACTGGTTCGGATCAAAAGACCCTACGTCCAGTTGCTAATCACTCAAAAGAGGATTAACGCTGTCATTAAGAACAAATTGTTACAAACAGATTACAAATGAACAGATAAAGATCAGAATACACCTCTCTTGAAATCCACAAGAGATGATGAACAACTTTCCCCAGAGACGGCACAGCACACAATCCACTAAGAACTCCACTTAGTGATTCTTATCGCTTCTAGCCCACACCAGGTTCAGAAAGCCCCCTTTCCTTGCAACAAACAGTTCTCTGGCACTCACAGCACTTAACTTTTGTATGGAAAAGGTTGTTCTTGCTTTTCTGAGTGCCAAATGAGAGTTTAAGTAGGGAAATTAGGGTTTAGAAAAAGGGGATTTCGAAACTAGGGTTCTTGGTAATTGGGTTTTCGAAAATAGGGTTAATTTGAAATTTAAAATGAAAAACAGATCGAAATAATCGATTAAATGGAGTTATAATCGATTAAAACAGAGCCAAAAAAACGAACCCAAAACCTCTATGTTTTAATCGATTATTTGAAGTTTTAATCGATTATTTGACCTAATAATCGATTATTTTGATGTTTTAATCGATTAAAACAAGTGAGTATATACTGAAAATGGTTTTCTCACTTGTTTTAATCGATTATTTCCCTATATAATCGATTAAAGCCGAGCCTGGATGATATATTTTGGCTTTTTGAAGCTTCTAAGTTGCGAGACTATGTACGGCTATCTCAAACTCTATAATTACAGACTCAATCTAATTAAAACAGAGTTATTACACTACAAAAACAAGTCTTCAACACTCTAAGTCTTTGAGTTCTTGAATCATCATCAAAATCAACAATCTTCATGTTCATCAAGTGCAACATCAAGTCCTTGAATGTTCAACAATCTCCCCCTTTTTGATGATGATCAAAATTATCTTTTAAAGCCCTTGTAATAACCTGTTTTATCTGTCATACTAACAAACACATCAAACATACCAGATAATATTTAAATGCAATTCATAATGCAATTCATAATGCAATTCATAAGAGGCTTTAAATATTTCTCCTCCTATTTTGATTATAATCAAAAAGAACTCTGCAATAACAATCATAAGAGCTCCCCCTCAAAATATGCATAAGTTGGAGATAACTCCCCCTCAATCAAAGCATTTAAAGAAACAAATTTCATTTCATAAAGAAACGTCATTACAGACAAAGAGATATATAACATTTCAATCATGTAAAAGCTGTTTATTTAAGCAGAATTTAGGCAATGTCTAATATTCCTAAGTCTCTTCTAAGATCATAGAATCTATCCTTGGGTAGAGGCTTAGTAAAAATATCTGCTAATTGACGTTTGGTATCTACATACTCTATTTACAGTTTCCTTTGCTGATATGATCTCTTAAAAAGTGATGTCTTATTTCTATATGTTTAGTCCTAGAGTGCATTACTGGATTCTTAGTTAAGTTAATTGCACTCGTATTATCACACATCAAGGGTATGTCATCTAAAAAGATATTATAATCTTCTAACTGTTGTTTCATCCACAGAATTTGAGCACAACAACTACCAGCTGCAATATATTCAGCTTCAGTGGTAGATAAAGCAACACATGCCTGTTTCTTAGAATGCCAAGATATTAAGGATGAACCTAACAAATGACATGTTCCACTAGTGCTTTTTCTATCAATTTTACAGCCACCATAATCAGCATCAGAATATCTTATTAAACTCATACAAGTATCAGACGGATACCACAAATCAAAATCAATAGTTCCTTTTAAATATTTTAAAATATGTTTTACTGCAATTAGATGAGATTCTTTAGGACAAGCCTGAAATCTAGCACACACACAGACAAAATGCATAATATCAGGTCTACTTGCAGTTAAGTATAATAGTGATCCTATCATACCTCTATACATAGTTTGATTAACTTCCAAACCTGATTCATCCTTGTCTAGATAGCATGAAGTTCCCATGGGTGTGTTAGCTTCCTTTGAGGTGTCCATACCAAACTTTTTGAGGATCTCTTTGCAGGTACTTGGTTTGAGAGATGAAAATGCCATCTTTAAGTTGCTTGATTTGTAGTCCAAGGAAGAATGTCAATTCTCCCATCATAGACATTTCAAACTCTCCCTGCATTATCTTAGCAAATTCTGGCAACAGAAGCATAAGTTTCATCATAATCTATACCTTCCTCCTGACAATAGCCTTTTGCAACAAGTCTGGCTTTATTCTTTGTTATGTTTCCATCTTCATCAAGCTTATTTCGAATACCCATTTAGTTCCAATAACTTGATGTGACTCTTCTCTTGGGATTAATTCCCGAGACTTGATTCCTTTCAAATTGGTTAAGTTCTTCTTGCATGGCTATGTACCATTGATCATCTTTAAGTGCTTCCTCAATGTTTTTAGGTTCAATCTGTGACACAAAAGCAACAGACATACAGAAATTTGTCATATTTCTAGTTCTTACCCCTTTTGAGATGTCACCTATGATGTTGTCCATTGAGAGTCCTCTAGGTGATTGCTATTCTTTTGCTAATTGAGGAGTTTGAGAAGGCTCATTATTTTCCAAGTATAATTCATCAAGGGCTTCTCTTATATACTCATCATCACCTACAAGTTCTTTATTTGACTCAAGAGGATTTCCCCCAAGGTCTACAATCTCATCAAAGGTAACATGTATAGATTCTTCTATATTTAAAGTTCTCCTATTAAACACTCTATATGCCTTGTTATTTAATGAATATCCTAGAAAAATGCCCTCATCGGCTTTTGAATCAAATTTTCCTAGATTGTCCTTTCCATTATTTAGCACAAAACATTTACATCCAAAAATTTTCAAATGGGTAACATTAGGCTTTCTACCATTAAACAATTCATATGGAGTAGATTTAATAATAAACCTAATGAGCATTCTATTTAAAACATAACAAATGATCAATTTTCTTTGAATAAATACAAGAGACAAACAATTCATTTAACTATAGGAACCCAAATATATTTTCCTTTAGGAACACCAAAATGTTTGATTTTACATCTATTTGAAGTATGACCATGTTTCATACAATAAAAACATGCATTAGATGTAATTTTAGAATATGATACATTTCTAACTATTGAAGTTTTGGTTCCTTTTTCAACCCATACTCTTCTATTTTTACTTTTAAGCTTTTTCAAAGGAACATGACAATTTTCTTTAATTTGAACACTATCCTTATTCTTATAACTATCACTTAATTCCTTTTTAGCTTTATCAAGCAAATGTCTAAGTAAATCAATATCATGTTCATACTCTTTACATGATGCACATGCTATAGTCTTATCATCATTCTCATCTATGCATACAATTTTCGTTTCTAAGGTTTCCTTTTCCTCTAAACATGAAATTTTCGTTTTTAAGGACTCCTTTTCTTCTAAACATGTGATTTTCATTTTTAAGGACTCTACCTCCATTTTGGAACTACTTAAACTCTTTTTCACAGCTTTGTATTTATTGTTCAAGTCCTTAAAAGCACTAAACAATTCATTATATGCATTTTGTAATTCATCAAAATCATTTTCATCATCACTTGAGGATGAGTCGGAATCACTTACCTCAAAGTCGGAAGAAATGATGTCATTTGCCAACAAGCAAATGTTAGCTTCTATTTCTGAGTCACTTGATTCCGAAATTGAGTCACTATCATCGGTTCCTTCATAAGTTATTCTTAGTTTTGCCCACATCTCTTGAGCACTCTTACAAGTGGATATTCTGTAAAACTCATCAAGGGTTAAAGCAGATGAAATTATATTTCTAGCCCTAACATCATATTGGGCTTTCCTATTTTCTTCATCCGACCATCTAGAAAATTGTTTTGGTACTTCTACTCCATTTTCAAAAACTTTAGGAATAAAAGGACCGTTTAAAATAGCGTCCCAGACGCCTCTATCAACAGACTCTAAAAATATTTGCATACGTACCTTCCAGAAAGGATAATTTTGACCCGCAAAAAGTGGGGGTCTGTTGATAGATGCACCTTCGGCAAAAGTTTGATTTTGTCCGGCCATTTTCGAAAATTTGAATGACTATCAAAGCAAGCTCTGATACCACTTGTTAGAATCGCGCAGCGGAATGTTCGCGTGGTCGGACAAAAACCAAGAGGGGGGGTGAATTGGTTTCTTAATAAAAATTAGGTTTTCAAAATTTTCCCCAAATTTTACCGATTAAAAACTGCGTAAATGTAAATAGAGAAGAGTAGAGAAGATTACACAGTAGGTTTATACTGGTTCGGATCAAAAGACCCTACGTCCGAGATGCTAATCACTCAAAAGAGGATTAACGCTCGTCACTAAGAACAAATTGTTACAAACAGATTACAAATGAACAGGATAAAGATCGAATACACCTCTCTTGAAATCCACAAGAGATGATAAACAACTTTCCCCGGAGACGGCACAACACACAATCCACTAAGAACTCCACTTAGTGATTCTTATCGCTTCTAGCCCACACCAGGTTCGAAAGCCCCATTTCCTTGCAACAAACAGTTCTCTGGCACTCACAACACTTAACTTTTGTATGGAAAAGGTTGTTCTTGCTTTTCTGAGTGCCAAAGGAGAGTTTAAGTAGGGAAATTAGGGTTTAGAAAAAGGGGATTTCGAAACTAGGGTTCTTGGTAATTGGGTTT